CTATATTCAGGGTATATACCTAGGGGTCCCATATACCTAGGGGTCCCCACTAAGGTCCCTCCTTTTCCCCTTTGGTTTAGAACAACACCGGACCCCACTCTAAGAGCCCCGCGAAATCTACGAAGTCCTGGACGTTCGGCTCGTCCTCCTGATTTAGGGTTGAGGGTTTAGGGGATTCGGGCCCAAAGGGGTCTGAATAACTAGCAAGAATGTTTTCTCATAACTGCGCTAGAACTTTTTCCAGGAACCGTGTTCTTGCTGTTATTGTTCCCCACAACCTCTGTTCTTACCGTGTGTGCAGGGTTTGGGATTGAGGGGTTGCCCTGCAAATATCCAAACCCTGCGGTTGCTCTTCAGTGGTGGTTTAGGGTTCAGCTGGGGTTTAACAAGCTACTTTTTCGGCCAGCTTTGACAGTGCCCTGTTTTTGTACGCCAAGCACTGCCGACTGTACATCGGTAACCTAGACGGAGTAACATTCAGGTCTCTCAGGGCTTGGGACTAATACGGAGGTCTTAGTAATTAGAATAGGGCTTTGGGGCCCTTATACTACAATTATAATAAGGAACCCCCAAAATAGCATAGGTAATCATTTAGGCCCCTATATTAGGCTGATATTGGTTCCTTGCCTCGGAGTTCGCACGTGCGACCTGAAAGTCCTGAAGCCCACATTCCGAAACTCTAAGTCCCTTAGCCCTAAACCCCCCAAAACCCCTAAACGGCCCTAAACCCTTAAACACAAATCTCTACACTGCCAAACCCCAAACTGAGCCTGAGACACATAAAACACAAAAAGGATACTATCTAAAACACACACTGCCTGCAACCAAAAAGTGCGTGTGCCATGAAAGCGCTTGCGACAACGCGATGCTAATGCCAACCGGACAACGCCTCAATAAAACAATCACAAATCCGATAAACACCTTGCAATGTCCAAACCTCAGTTTAAGAAGACGCCCGGAAGCTTTTGTCCAAAGCCCCCTAAACCCTAAGCTTGGCCCTAAACGGTCTAGGGTAAAGGGGCTCAGAGTTTAGGGTTTAGGGTTCAGGGTTTTGGTTGATCTATGGTGACGGACCTTTTTTCCAGCTTGTCTGCCTTTCTTTTAAGTGCAATGGGGCCTTTTCTGCATGAGGTCCAGCCGGTTTCCGGCTTGCACTTCACAGACCTTCCTTCTGGATTTGTGATCCTTTAGGGTTTAGGGTTTAGAGTTTACGGTTTAGGCTTTTTTTACGAAGCGCAAGGCCCAGGAACTGGCCTCCTCTCGATCGGCCAGGGCAAAGTACACCGTCGTAGCCTCCGAGCCTTCGCAACATCCGTAGCTGCAATTTTACTTGAAAACGTCGGGGACTTAGCAAGTAAGTAATAAGAAGACTAAGAAGTAATTTACAAAGGATCCTGATTGGGGATATGGTACTTATAACTCCACTTACTAACCACCCCGACCCTCCAAGTAAGGCGGCAAGAAGCAGGGTTTACGATCAAGAGTTGAGGACTTGTTTAGGGTTGAGGTTGCTGAAGTTTGTGTTCTTAACTTCGGGTCCCTTTCAGAAACTACTGTTCGAGGGATAAGCTTTTATCCCGCCTTTTCTCTTGGAGATGCGGTAGTGTGTTCATAGACCTGTTGTAAGATTTTCCTTTGACGCTTCCACAGACGTTGTCCGAGTTTCGAAGCAACGAAGCCTTCAAGAAAGGCTCGCGCCCAAGCCCTACACCCAAACCCTCACCACCCTACACCCTAAAGCTTACTTGGAGGTTCATGGGTAGCTATAAGTAGGGTTATAAGTCCCTGAATATGGGTTCTAGTTACAGTTGCCCTACTTACAACCACACTTCAAGCTACCCATGAACCTCCAAGCAGACCCTGAACCCTAAACCCCTCGCCCCTTAACCCCAAGCTCCGAGCCCCTCATCCCCAATTCCTGAAAGCCCAAGCCTTTCTCCGGCTTTCGTCAAGACCCTAAACCCTCGACACAGAACCCTAATTGGGGCCGAAAAATTGGCAATACTATTCTGGGAATAATATACCGCCAAAACCCTATGTAAACCTCTAAGGCCCCAGATTACCGACGGTTTAGGGTTTGGGGTTTTGGGTTTAGGGCTTCTGGGCCTCAGGTTTAGGATCTGTGGAGTCGGGTTATGAGTTAAAAGAATAAGGTCGAAGTCCTTTGAGCCTCGGTTGCTTCTGAACCTATACAGCCTATACAGCCCTGAGCAAAGCCCAAACCCGGAACATTTACACCCCTCCCCCAAACCACCCTAAACCCTAAACCCGGAACCCTTTATGCCTCAAATTTAATGTCTCAACCCCAAACTCTGCTTTAGGGACCCAAAACGCACACCAGCATAAGCATTTTACAGGGATATCTCTACCTTATTGGGCTTCATTTTAAAGCGGGTTACATGGGATCTCCCCGTCCTACTTTGAGCTTATGTCCGATTTTAAGCACGTATGCACGGTTCCTCTAAGCCTTCCTTTAAGGCAATCTTTGAGGTGTCCTTTAGGGGTTCTTTAAAGGAACCCGGATCGGAACCCTAAGCTGCACCCTAAACCCTAAAACTGAATCCTAAAGTGTACACTAATTCTAATTCCTGAACCCCGAATTCCCAAACCCTAAGATAGAAAACCCTAAGCCCTAATCCCCAAACCCTAAAACTCAATCCTCAACCCTCATCTCCAAGTTCCCGGCACTGTGCTTCCAGGGTCAGGAGCAAGTCTGCGAAAAGGTCTGGGTCCTCCCGCATGGTTTGGCATTCCTCTCTAAGGAATGATAAGGGTTTCCACAAGCAGGAAAATCTGGGTACTGTTAGGTCCTGCCGTATGGTTTGGGCTTCCTCTCTAAGGAATGATAAGGGTTCCTAGTTTTTTTTCCTCCCGTGTGGTTTGGGACTCTTTTAGAAGGAAGTGCAAAGGTTCCTGTGAGCGGCTGATATGGGGACTGTTTGGTTTTAGGGTTTAGGGTTGAGACTTTAGTTGGGGCTTGGCGTTGAGGGTTAAGTGCTTAGGGTTTGGGGCTTGGGGTTTAGTGTTTAGGGTTAGGGGTTTGGGGTTTCGAGTTTCAGGTTGAGGTTTGAAAGCTTGGGGGTTTGGGATTAGGGTTTTCTTCTAGCGAATTTTTCTTCCAGTGTGCTGACCCTGGCGGACACCAAGTCGGACTGTGCAGGTTTTAGGTGTAGAGTGTAGGATCTAGGATTAGTTCAGAAAGTCTCAAACATGTGTTACTTCTGGGTCTGCAAAAACTCTCATCAATGAAATAATAGCATGCTCCGCGCCGTATATCAACTCGCTTGCGTGGGCGTCAGACTAACAGCACCGTTTTCCAGTCCTTCGAGTACAGTTTGTGTTACTCCGTCCTCTATACCTTGTAGCACCCCCTCCCTTCTCTGACACCCACATCAAAGGACATCCTCTGGGCGAGGGGTTTCAGACTTTCGGGCTCCTTTAAGGGTTTAGGTTTTAGGGTTTAGGGGAACTACAAGGACTCCTTTAAGGGTTCCAGAAAGAGAGGTATAAGAGCTCCTTTGAGGGATCCTGCAAGGCCTGCTTTAAGGGCACTGCAAGGCCGGGTAAACTTGATAGATAGCACTCTTGACAGCGTACACGTTAAACCCTAAACCGAACCGCAGAATTTAATGGGTGACATCGGGATTACAATTCCAAAAAAGAGATTGAAGGTTACCCATTCTACTATGGTTGAGGGTTTCGGGGTTTAGGGTTTAGGGTTATTTAGTACTATATGGTTTGAGTCAACAACTCTGAAAAGTGGATGTCGTGACAGCCCGCAAACTGAGGCGGACGCATAACCCACGTCCGAGCCGACGACGAGGCTCCTGCGTCAGTCTCATCAAAGCGCAAAAGGAGGGCCCCTTCATGGGGATCCTTAACCTATACTACAGAGGTGATATACCTAGGGGTCTTTATTAAGGGTGCCTCCTTTTATCCTTGGAGTCTCAAACTCATGGACACCTTCTGTAAGGGTTCTATATATCAGGGTCATTAGGCGTATGGCCTCAAGATAGTTGTCTCTAAACCATGTCCTATAATCCCAGGGGCCCTTCCAGCACTGTCTCCCTCAAAAACCCACCATGCATGCCTCTGTAGCCCTGCAAAACCCTACAGCGCCAACCAAACAAACCCGATGTCCCATTATTGCTCTGTGAAAAGACCTGTAAAACTTCCATGAAAGTCTTACATCCATCCTCAATTGTGAAACCCTGCTTAATGAATAACTCGCAAAACCGTCCCTTTACCCTTATAGAATCCTATAGATCCCTTTAAAGGGACCCTTAAAGGAACCCTTATAACTACCCATGAACCTAAGTAGAAGCCCTAAGACATGCCAAGAATGTCACGCACTTGGCGGACCGAAACCCTGATCAACAAAAAAAACGTTAGCGGACCGAAACCCTAAACCTTGAGCCATAGACCCGACACCCTAAACCCTGAACCCCAAGCCCTAAACCCTATTTACACCATAAACCAACCCTAATAGACAACCGAAACAGGAAAAAAACATACATTTGGCGGCTCCAGGTTCCCCTCCACGGATCGAGGCCCTGCCTGCTTTGGGTTCTGAAACGGTGTTGGTGCTTGGGGTTTGTTTGGGGATTAGGGTCTGTGGTTTGGGTTCAGGGCTTCGGGTTCGGGGTTGGAGGTTGTTGATTCCAAAGTCTTTGGGTTCTCTTCTTGGTTTCTCTAGGACTCTTTGTTCAAAACGGTATAATTTATGGGGGCGTTCTAAATCCAGTTGCCCGTAGAGACCTAGGAAGTTTCGGATCTAGAGCTTGGTGACCCTACACCCCTGGTTGTCAAGGAGTAAAGGATGGGCAAGGACTGGGTTCCCACGCTCCGGCCAGCTACAACACAAGAAAGGCTTGGGGCTTCAAGCAGACGTCAACAACCGTTAACAGCGACGATGCTCCATGCGAGACCTCCGTGTTTCGTGACTCATTTTGAGCGCGCAGCGGCGAAAACCACTGTCGGCAACTTTCTAGGCCATTCCCCTACACAGCTGTGATCTCCGCCTCGAGGCCCCAAGAGTCTCCACGCTCATAATGTACAGCGTGGAAGCTCCAGTGGCCCTCCTTCGAGAGCTGCTCTCGGATCTGCTGCTGAACTGCCTCGCACAAGTCATCCTCACGCTCCTCCTCCAGCTCTGCAAAGCGCTCCGTGTCTGAAGTATTTGCCTCCGCTGCTTTGAGCTCCTCGAGGGAACTATGCTGCGCAGCAAAGTCGGTAAAAGCCGCACAGGCCAACCCAATGCTGCTGTACTTCTTATCATGGTCCCACGAATATTTCTCATTGCAGTTTGAAGGGTCCCAGTCATCGTCCACGAAGAAGTGGCATGACACCTTGTATGCCTTTCGCTTGCGGCTCGGAGCTGCTACGGGCCGTGGAGCCTTTGATAGCTGGTCCATGGGAACAATCTTGGTGGTGCCGTTGTCGAGCTTCACCTTGGCCATAACCTCCTGGATCACTCCCTTGCGGTCTTCGCTGATGAGCACCTTGCTACCCTTCTTCATGAGCTCGGACGCTGCCACTACACCAACAGCATCCGCAACTCAAAGGCTCGCCCTTGAGGCCTTGAGCCAAAGGTTACCAGAATCCAGGCAGCGGTCCTGTGATGTGTTGGGGTTGTCAGGGGCTTCTCAGGGTCTCAGGGTCTTTGGACCATTGCAGGCTTTGGCTGCATGAAGTTTGAAAATGATTTTCGGGCTGACTAAGCCCCGTAAGCAATAGCGCTTGGAGCTTTGCGGTCCATGGTCTCAGGGATTTCCTAAACTGCCCGAGGACTTGTTTAGGATCGGGCTTGCAAAGGAAAACTCTTGCGTGTATAGAAAGCTAACATGGCCTGCGGCATCTAGGCAAAACCCACGGAGGCTACCTTGCGCAGCAGGTGACGTTTGCAAACACAGACCATCTCAGAAGAAGTGCAATGTCTGCCTCACCAAACATAAACCCCAATCCTCGAACCCCCTATAGAACTTTGAATGATTAGCATTATTATGCTTCTAAAGTCTCTATACCATTATTCTATAGCAATGGAATATGTCCCCAAAACTTCCGGCTTAAGGACCCTACATCAACCCTGATGAAAAACATCGTGCAACCCCCTTCTTAATCATAAGCCACCCTAAACCCTAAACCCTAAACCTGAAACCGTAGCCCAACCCCCGGCGGCCTGTGGCTTTCCTGGGTCCAGTCTAAGGCCCGCAGGTGCACCTCTCCCACATCAGAAAGACAGGATTTATATAGGGCGTCTATATGTTGCTCCGGCTTTGAAGTTTAGCGGTTTAGGATTTTTAAGGTTTAGCGCCTTAGGGCTGTAGGGCTTGGCGGGTTTAGGATTTGTGGTTTTAGGGCTCATGCTTTGGAATCTTGGGGTCGAGAACCCTACAGCCCCGCACCCAGCCTCAGTTTTTCGGGTTATAGATATAAATACTGATATACCCAACTAGGGTACATATAACGTTACTTGCTGAGTCCCATGATCCCCCAAGTACGATTTCGATGCCTAGAAGGCGTAGGATGTTGGGTGTAGGGTTGAGACTTCAGGGCTAAGGGTTTAGGGATTTGTGGAGTCGAGGCGTAAGTGGGTTAAGGGTTCATGATACATATGGGTGGTTGTCAAAATTACGGTCCCTTTTTGGGTATCCTAAATATTAGGTGCCGTATCATAACAAGGACCCAAAAGGGTACCATAATTTTGACAAACACCCATATCGTAAGCAAAGCTTGTTCTCCTTCGGTTGCTTTACGTTTTGTTGCTCACAACAAGAACTTTCACCCTCGTTATTCTACTTGGAGGGTCGGGGGACTTAGTAAGTAGGTAGTAAGTAGACTTACAAGTACCTTCACAGGGATTCTATCTAAGTGGGGGTATGACACTTGTAAGCCTGTAAAATAACTATTTACTAAGTCCCCGGACCCTCCAAGTAGAGGCCCCAGAATTTCGCCACACAGCAAGCCAGGCTGGCCTCATCCGGAGCCCCTTGTTTAGGACGACCGAACAAACCGTTAAACTCCAATACCGAAGCTCTCAAACAAGCCCCACTGACAAAATTTGAACAGAATCCTAAACCTTAAACCCTAAACCTTTACTTTTCAAACCAATGCCCTCAAGTCGCAAAATCAGAAAACACACCCTCCTGCCCTTAACTCCGAACCTGCCTCAAACCCGAAACTCTAAACCCTAAACCCTGAACTCTAAACTCTTAACCCTAACCCCTGAACCGGAACCCTCCTCAAGTTCAAGAGGCCTTGCCCGACTTGTCGTTGGCGTCCGCATTCCGTTGAAGAAGCGGCATCCTAGGTTTAGGTTTTAAGATCTTGGGGTGCAGGACTTGGCGCTTAGAGCCGCACCCTTAATGAAGTCATCAAGCTTTATTTCCCAAGCCCCAAACACAAAATCCCTAAAGCTCTAAACCCCACACCCCTGAACCCCTAAACCACAAAACCCTATACCTCTAAAACCCTAACCCCGAAAACCCCTAAACCCCAAACGATGCGAGTGAGGCCAAGAACATTCAACCGCAACTAGCAGTTGGAACTGTGGAGGCCTCAAACTACAAGCCTCCAATCTTTAGGGTGTAGGGTCCCTTTGCTTCTGAACATGTTAACCCTGACCCATAAACACCTCAACCCGTAAACCCCTGAACTTGTTTACAACCTAAGCCGTTTGGGGCGTTAGTTTCCCCTTGTTGCATGCTGCAGGGCCTATACAAAACACATGCCTCAAACCATAAAATTAAAACCTGGATAACCCTTCATGGAAGCCCATGAAACCCTTGAAAACACCCTAAACCCTAGACCTGAAACCCTAAACCCTAAGCCCTAAACCGCTAAACCCCGAACCGTAAACCCGCAACCTTAAAATCCTAATTTCAGGTAGACTCCTTGGGGGGATTGGTCGCTCTGAGCCGAGCCGAGGCGCTGCTTCTCAAGGTCGGTGAGAACCACGAGCCTGACACGTCAAGGGCTTAGCGTTTAGGGGTTTTAGTGGTCAGGGGTTGAAGGGTTTACGGTATAGGGTTTAAGGGTTTAGGGTTTAGGGGTCTAGAGTTTAGGGATTAAGGGCCCTTTAGGGCTCAGGCTTCGGGGTCTAGGGGTTAAGGGGTTTAGTGGTTTAGGGGTTTTGAGGGTGTAGGGGTTGTAGGGTTTAGGGTTTAGGACTTTAGGATTTAAGGGTCTAGAGTTTAGGGCTTAAGGGTTCACACGGGGGCCTGACATGCCAAGGCCAACAGGGTAGGTTCCAATTGGGTCCTATCTCAACTTATCCGGCCTTCTACGGCTCTTTAGGTTGTTTTGGGGGGTTTGCAGTGTACAGGGATTTAAGAGGAGGAGAGCCTGGCATGTCAAGGCCATGCCAAAACTGTATTTCAGAAGGGCTTTATCTGGTCTCCTCTGGTCTCTTCTCTGCTGGATTGGAATAGGATTTAGCTGGCACATACCCCCCCCCCCTGCCCCCCTGCCCCGGCCCTGCCCCCCCTTCCAAAAAAACAATGAAAAATGCTTGCCACTGAATGTGTACAAGGCCGGTGATTCCACTGGAGCTGGGGGCCTCGATACTGCCCACCGACCTCAGGGTCGTAGGCGTGTGCGAGATCGAGTGATTCCACTGCCCATGCCTGTGCATCAGCCAAGGTTCCCTTGTTCCATGCCGGAATTCGGTGATGTCAGTCGTACAAGAAATGCCCGAGGGAACGAGAGAGACACTACACGCAAAAAATCGACCAGTGTCCTGTCACGTTGCAGAAATGGCACCTACCCCCATAAGGGTAGTTGTCAAAATAGGGGTCCCTTTTTAGGTACCCTAAATAATAGGTGCCGTATTATCATAGGGACCCAAAAAGGGACATAATTTTGACGACCACCCATAAGGGCCAATCTGCAAAGGTCTGGACTCCGAACCCTTAATTCTACGGGCGGGCCATAAATCCTAAATCCGGGGTGCCGGTAATTATTCAAAGCCCTGCCCCCTGAACCCTGGGCCCTTGACGCCCGAACCTCTGAGTACATGTGTAGCCTCCTTCAAGGAAACCTTACACGAACCCTTTCAATGGAACCCTTAAACTCTAAACTCCAAACAATAAAACTCTCTGTCATCGAGCCGTATCAGGTGGCACCAAGAACCCCAAACTGCTTAGGCTGTAGGGTTTAGATGTAGGGGCCCTTTGAAGGTCATTGTCTGGTCTCTTATGCGGGAGCTACGCTTTTGTTTGATGGTTTGGAGTCTAGGGGTTTGGAGTTTTATATTTCTAAGCTTTAAGGTTTTGGCTTAAGGGTTAGGCTTAAGGGTTTAGGCTGTAGGTCTCACCCTTTGCCTGCGTTGAGTCATAGCGCCTCTCGTTTTTGGGCATGAGTTGTCTAACCGCTCCGGATACGAACCGCAATGCACCGAAGTGAAGCGAGTTTAGGCTGCAGGGCTGCGGAGCCTAAAACCAATCTGGTGCAGGTACAGGAACTTCCCTACATCTAAACAAGAAGCTCTTATGTAACTCAACCATTCCTTGATCATGGGGTATTGGGCTCTATAAATTAGAGGCAGAACCCTACAGATATCGCAGTATGCCCTCATGACAAAAACATGTCAAATTTACGGTTTTAGACAAACCCCATACAACCTCACACAAAGCCATATGAGGCTCTAGAAGAGCCCTAAACCCCAAACCTAAGGCTAGGCCCTAGGCACTTAACACTTAACCCTAAACCACGAATCCTAAACCTCAATCCACCAATCTTGCAGCCAAAGAGCCAATACCTCTTAGTTAAGGACTGTGCCTTGGACCTAGAAAAGCCACAGATATAGATAGATACAGCTCCGTACAATTTGAGACATTTTCCTCAATTAAGGGTCTTTGGGCCCTCTGGGAATCTTTACAAAACCCTTGTAGTAACTTGCTGGAAACCCTATGTAAACCCTTATAGATCCCTTGTAGGAGCCTGAAATAACCCCTAATCTTGACATCGGAGGATAACAAGCCTTACAGGACCCGTTATAGTAACCCTAAACTCTGAACCCTAACCCCCAAAGCAGGAACCCTGCACCTGCAATGCCGTCAAATGCAGGCCGGAGTGGCTCAGCACCCAGGGACGCCACCGTGAGACCGGCGACCTGGGAAGAGGAAAAGTTTCTTTTGAGCTCCTTTTTAATGTTTGCCCATTCGAAGCACTCGCTTAGCAGCGGATTTAGGATGTAGGTTTTAGGCTTTAGAGTTTCGCGGGCTTGGTGGTGTAAGATAGGGACATAGTGTTCAGTCAAGGGTTTTGCAGGGGCTACTACAAGACGAATTATGAGGCGACGGGGTTGAAAACAGTGGCCTTAATAAACAGAATGGGGCTTTGGGATATCGTATACTATAGCTATATTCAGTGGACACTAAGGATCTGTTTATCACTTGTTCAGACTTTTTATAGTTATATTCTAGAATCAAGGTGATCCAGCCTAGAGCCAGCGTTTAGGGCCATTTCGGATTTGGGTTAAAAATGTCGTTATCAGTTTATATATTCGGGACTTATCAGT